GGAAGAGGGAGGGGGTCAGGGAGGGGAAGGGGGTAGGGGGGATCAGCGTACCGACACTTGCAAACATGGGGGGGAGGGGGAGGGGAAGAGGGGAGGGAGGAGTTTGTACCGAACAACTGCAACATGGGGGAGGGGAGGGGAGGGGAAGAAGAGGGGTTGGGGGGATCGGGTACCGACACCTTGCAACATGGGGGGGGAGAGTGGGGGAGGGGGAGGAGGGAAGAGGGAGGGGAAGAGGGAGGTAAAGAGGTGAGGAGGAAGGTGTAGACGGAGGGAGGGAGGGTAGGGTAGGGTAGGGGAGAGGGGGGGAGGGAAGGAGCCATCGGTTTGAAGATATTGGGGCGAAGAAGGACGGTGGGGAAAGGGGGAGGGGGATGTGTTTAGGTTGTCTGTTTGTAGCGATGTGAATGAACAGGAGAGGGAGAGGGGGAGGAGGAGGGAGGAAGGAGGGGGGAGGAGAGAGAGAGAGAAGAAGAAAGAGAAAAACCGAAAGAGAGAGAGAGAGAAACCGAAAGAGAGAAAGAGAAACCGAAAAAGAGAGAGAGAAAGACCGAAAAAAATAGAGATAGAAACCGAAAAAAAAAACAGAGAGAGAGAGAAACCACAAAAGCACGAGAGGCAGACGCAAAAACCTCGCCGAAGGAGCGCAAGCAAAGCAATAACCAAAAACAATAAATGCCAATAATGAAAGTCGGCAACAAAAGAAAATAATAACGACTCTCGAATGAAATATTCACCATCAAACATTCATCAACCTTCACAATTACGCCCGTCCAATAAAGCTTTCCCATTATCACTCCCGCACCCCCACCCCCCACCCCCCGAACCCCCACACTTCCCCTCCTCTCCCCTCCTCTCCCCCTGGCCGAAACCCTCTCTTTCCCCTTCTCTCTCTCTCTCTCTCTCTCTGTTTCTCGCTTTTCTCTTTTTTTCTCTCTGTCTCTCATTTTCTCTTTCTCTTTCTCGGTCTGTCTCTAATCTCTTTCTCTCTTTCTCTCTTCCCTCACATTCCTTAGCATCTTTCTTACTCCCCTTCCTCCTCCCTCTCTCCTTCCTTCTCTATCCCCCCCTCCATCTCCCTTCCCTACCCCCCTCCCTACCCTCCACCTCTTCTCCTTCCTTATCTCTCTCTCTCTCTCACTCTCTCCCCTTTTCCATCCCCTCCATCCAATCTCTTCTTCCTTTTTTCTCTCTGTCTCCCTCTCCCCCCTCCCCCCCCTCTTCTCCTCTCTCTCTCTCTCTCCTCTCCCCTCTGCTCTCCCCTCTCGTCTTCTCTCTCTCTCTCCTCTCTCCCCCCCTCTCTCCCTCTCCCTCTCTCCTGATGGCGATACGGGAAATGAAGAAGCTTTGCCCGAGGATTCGTAACCATTTTTAAGAGCATGGTGAAAAACGGTACCACATGCTACCCAATATATCCCGGCGCTCGAATCTTCCGAACATTTCCCGCGCTCGGCGTCCCAAATCTCCAATATAACTCGTCAGGTGTAATTCTCACTTCGTCCGAATTCTCCGGTCGGAATCAAATAACCGGTGAATTTACCGCTAAACCACTGAATCCATTGCGATTGAACGGTCGAAACTACTTACTTGAGATTGAAAAGCTGGTCGTGGGGGTATATAGGAAGAAGATTTAACATTTCCCCCGTCTGAAAATAGGCAGAAGACTCGAGGAATCCGGAGTCAGCTGCCGCGATTCGCACGCGGCTTTAGTTGCGCGCGATGGCACCAGATGGCAGTTTGCTTGTGTATGCAATATTGAGAAGCGAGGGGAAAATTGAATGATTTGCATTTCGTCTCGGTGTTACAAGACGGCGCGGTGGGCCGACGGTTTATATTAACAGCGGTGGGCGGCGGGGTGTGTTGCAGACCTTGTTACTCTCCCCCGCCCCCTCCCTCGCCCTCCCCTCTCCCTCTCCCGTCCCCGCCATCGCCCCCTCCCTTCGCTTCCCCCTCTCCCTCCTTCGGGACTCCTGTCGTCCTCCCTTCTCTCCTCCCTCCCTTTCCTTCTGCTCTCCTTCTCCCTTCCCTCGTTTCTTCCCTCGTCGGCCGTGGCGTGTCCCCCTCCTCTCCCCCCCTTCCCTCCGCGCTCCGCGCTCTGCCGGCCAGTCTCCCCCTCTCCCCTCTCCCACTCCTCGCTCCTCTCTCTTCCTCTCTTTCATCCCTCCCTCCCTCCCTCGCCATCAGAACTCGTCCCTCAAGTAAGCTTAGACCGTGACTGCCCGAAGGGAGGGGAGGCGAGGGGGAGGCGAGGGGAGGGAAGGCGAGGGGAGAGGGAGGGAAGGCGAGCGAATGGCGCGTTGCCTCTGAAAAGGGCCCGGCTCTGTGCCTTTCCACTGACCAATCGCTTTAATTAAAATAGAAAGTTCAAACAATTTACCCCCGGGACAGCCAAGATTAGACAGCCGAGAGCCGGGAGGGGGTGGGGGGAGTGGGGGAGGGGATGGGGTGGGGGAAGAGGGGAGGGGAAGGGGGGAAGGGGTAGGGAGAGTGGAAATGGGGAAGGAGAAGGGGAGGAGTGGAAGAGGGAAGGGAAGTGGAAGGGAAGGGGGAAGGGAGGGAAGGGGAAGGGGGAAGAGGGAAAGGGGAAGGGAAGTGGAAAGAGGGAAGGGGAAGGGAAGGGAAGGGGGAAGGGAGAGAGGAGAGGGGAAAGGAATGGGAGAGGGGGAGGGAGGGGGGAGGGAAGGGGAAAAGGGGAATGGAGAGGGGGGTGTCGATGGCGTGGGCGGGAGGATGTAATGACACAATGTCTTTTCCTTTTAGAGAAAAAACAAACAATATACATATATATATATATATATATATATATATATATATATATATATATATAAATATATAAAATGATTGACATTAAGTTCAAGATGACAATAGAAGAGAAAAAAAAATCACAACACACCATCTCCTACCACCCCCACCCCTTCACTCCCCACCCTCCCCTCCCCCCCCTCATCCCCACCCCCTTCACCCCTCCCCCTTACCCCCCGACACCGCGTTCTGGAAGCCCCGACCCGACACCGACCGACATCCATCAAAGGCGGTGGATTCGAACCGATCCGACGCAATAAACCTTGTCCATACAATAGCTCCCGACTTCCGCCAAAAAAAAAAAAAAAAAAAAAAAAAAAAAAAAAAAAAAAAAAAGCCGAAGAAATACGCGAGAGCAATACAATCAATACAATGATGCAATCTTTGCAATAACGCAGGTCAGGACTCGAGTGAAGATGCTGGTTTGGTGTTGGATATTACTCTCTTTTTATCTTTCTTTCTCTGTCTCTCTGTTTGTTTTCTCTCTTTCTCTCTCCCCCTCTCTCTCTTTCTGCTTCCCTCTCTCTCTCTTCTTCCCCTCTCTCTCTCTCTCCTTCCCTCTCCCTCTCTTTCAGAAAAACAAGAAAGCACTTAGATCGAAAAACAAACAAACAAAAATAAAAAAGGAAGAGGAGGAAAAAGAAAAGAGAAGAGAGAAGAGAGAGAGAGAGAGAGAGAGAGAGAGAGAGAGAGAGAGAGAGAGAGAGAGAGAGAGAGAGAGAGAGAGAGAGAGAGAGAGAGAGAGAGAGAGAGAGAGAGAGAGAGAGAGAGAGAGAGAGAGAGAGAGAGAGAGAGACAGAGACAGAGAGAGACAGACCTAGACAGAGACAGAGAGACAGACACAGAATACCAACCAGACCATCCTCCCCCCCCCCAACCACCCCCCACCTCCACCCCCCACCTCCTCCGAAACACCCTCCGCCAGAGAGAGGGATTCCTTCAGCGGCTCGAGATTTTGTGAAACTCTCCCTCCGCCTCGTCCCTGTCTCCTGCTGTACCCCCCCTACCCCCTTGCCCCCCACCCCCCTACTGGTCTCTCTCTCTCTCTCTCTCCCTGTTGACTCTCACACCTCCTCTCCCTTCCCTTCCTTCCCTCCCTCCCCTCTGCCTCCTCTCTCTCCTTGTTTTTCTTCCTTTCCTTCCCTCCCCTCTTCTTTCTCCCTTCCCCACCCATCCCCCTTCCCTCCTCCCTCTCCCTCCCTATCCTCCACCCTCTCCCTCTCCTTTCCCCCTTATCCCCCTCCTCTCACCCTCCTCCTCCTCCCTCCCTCCCTCTCCCTCCTCCCTCCCTCCCCTCCCCCTCTCCCTCCCATCCCTCCCCTCCTCCTCCAATCCCCTCCCCCTCTTGCTCCCCCCTCCCACCCCTCTCCCTTCCCTCCCCACTCCCCCCCTCCCACTTCCCACTCCCACCCCACCCACCCCAAAGCTTCCTGGACGGCTGGTGGGATATTGCATCTTTCTTATTTCAATTTCAAAGAGGAAAGGCTTCGATCAGACCAATATCAGAGCAGGAACATGAATATCTGTACCGGTGAAAATTGAACACTGCCCTTGGTGAGGAATGTGTGTGCGCGCCGTGCGTGCGTGTTTGCGTGTGTGTGTGTGCGTGTAAGGGGATGGGGATGTGTTTGTGGTGTAAGGGATGTGTGTACGGGTGTGTGTGTGTGTAAGGGGATGTGTGTGTTTGTGTGTGTGGTGTGTAATGGGGATGTGTGTGTTTTGTGTGTAAGGGATGGTGTGTGGGTGTGTGTGTAAGGGATGTGTGTGCGTGTAAGAGGATGTGTGTGTGTGTGCGTGTAAGTGGATGTGTGTGTTTGGGGATGGTGTGTGTGTGTGTGGTGTGTGTGTGTGTGTTGTGCGTATGTGTGCGCGTGTGTGTGTGTATGTGTGTCTATGTTGTGTGGTGTACATGTACATGTATTCCACGTCTGTATGCACAGTGTAACACAATGGTACAAACACTGATCTTCCGAAAAAAAACACAGACAAACAAACACAAAAAAAACACCCCTACCCACCCCACAACCCCAACCCTCCCCCCACCCCCTCCAACCCCTCTCTTCACCTTCTCTCCTTACCCCCTACCCCCAAATCTCCCTCAACCCCAACCCCCAACCCACCCCAAATCTCCCCCACCCCTCTCCTTACCCCAACCCCCCACCACCCCCAACCCCCAACCGAAGACCCCCAAATCTCACCTGTGGTTGCACTGTTGACAAGCGAAACACTCGAGATGGTATACATTCGTCTTGGCTCTCATCACCATCTCAAAGGCGGGGATGACCTTGTTGCAGGCGGCACAGTGACCCGTGGTGCCAAATAGTCTGCAAGGGACAGAAGGAAAATAATGGTTAAGTGGGTAAGAGATGTATTGATAATGTATTGGTGCCAAATAGTCTGCAAGGGACAGAAGGAAAATGGTTACTAGGTAAATAGATGAATAGATAGATGTATTGGCAAATAGTCTGCAAGGGACAGTATTGGGTAGGTAAATTTTGATAGATGTATTGGCATATTTTGTGGTGCCAAATAGTCTGCAAGGGACAGAAGGAAAATGGTTAAGTTGATAAATAGATGTATTGGCATGTTTGTGGTGCCAAATAGTCTGCATGGACAAAAAATGGATAGGTTGATATATATAAATTAATGAATAGATAGATGTACGGATGTGATGTCTGCGGTGCCAAATAGTCTGCAAGGGACAGAAGGAAAATAATGGTTAAGTAGATAAATAGATGTATAGATAGAGGTATTGACATGTATGGTACCAACTAGTCTGCAAATGACAAAAAAATGGTTACTTTAATAGATAAACTGATGAAGGAGTGTGATGTCTACAAGGGACTAAAGAGAATGTTAAGTTTGATATATAAATTAGATAGATAATTATAATAATAATTATTATTATTATAATAATCATAATAATAATAACAACAATCATAATGATAACAATAATCATCATTATAATAACAATAATCATAATAACAATAACAGCAATATAAGTAATAACAGCAATATCAATAATAGTAATAATCACACCAACAGCCTTACTAACAATAACAACAACAATAATAATAACGATGAGGATGATAATAATAATAACAACATTAATAATAACAACAATAATACTAATGATGACAATAATAATAATAATAATAATAATAATAATAACAATAATAATAAACAATAACAATAATAATAACCCGAGCGGCGGCGGCGACCTCCTTCCTCAACCCGAAAAGGAACCAAGCGACCGGCGGAGCGCGGTGGCCGGGCCGAGTCTCGAGCGGCGCCGCGCCATAAAGGTTAAAATTAACGAAGAGATGAATATGAAAATGAACCCTAACGACGAGCGAATGGCGGGGCGGCCTGGCGGGAAGTGCGTCGCTGGTTTAATATAGAGGCTCCAGCCAGTCATGTCGGCCGCAAACTTACACCGCTTGCGAGCCCGGCCCACTCGCTCTCAACTTTCCCAAACAAGGATAATTTAGACCAAATTCACATCAGCATTCGCGACGCAAGTTTAATTTACGCTGAATTTACACACAGACCACACACACGCGCGCGCGTCGCTTCCCCCCCCCTCCTTCCCCTTCTCCACTCCCCCCCCCCCCGCGCTCTAATAAGCATCGCCTCCTTTCCTTCACATTTTTATTATCATCGTTATTATTATTATTATTATTAATTATTATATTTATCATTATTGCCGTTATTCTTATCATTATGATACTATTATTACTATGATGATGATTATCATTATCTATATATTCTTATCATCATATTATCATCGTTATCATTATTACTATCATCGTTGCCTTTATCTATATCAATATTACTCTTTCCTGTTATAATTCCTATTATCATAATCATATCATCAATATAATGGTAAAGACAAAAAACGACAGTAATACTTCTACTACTACTATTTCTACTACTGCTACTACTACTACTATAATGCTACTCCTACTTCCGCTACTACTACTACTACTACTATACTATACTACTACTACTGTTACTACTACACTACTACTTACTACTACTACTACTCTACTACTACTACTACTTCAACTACTTCTCTTCTCTACTACTCACTATTTTACTTCTACTCCTCCTACTACAACTCCCACTCCTTCTACTACTACTCCTACTACAACTACTTCCACAACAACTAGTAATACCAAAACAACCGTCACAAACAGGTGTCAATAATCAATCCGGGAGTATTACTCATTCAAAAGGCCCTTGACAGCAATGTTCAGGATTCTGGCATGTCGGTCAAGCCATCATTGTCATTTGTTTGGAAATAATGAATTAATAAAACATGTATCAGGTTATGATTATTCGCAGAATCATAAATAGATGATAGTACAATTATTGCTTTCTGTTTTTTTTTTTTTTTTTTTTTTTTTTTTGCTTTTTTGCTTTTAGGAAACGCATATATTAAAATTATAATATATATAATTTATATATATATATTATATATATATATATATATATCTATATATATATAATACAGATATAAAGAAGAGACAGAAGGAAAAGAGAAAGAGTGAAAAGAGTGAAAGAGTAAAGAGAGAGAGAGGAGAGAGAGAGAGCAGAGAGAGAGAGAGACGAGAGAGAGAGAGAGAGAGAGAGAGAGAGAGAGAGACAGACAGAGACAGAGAGAGAGACGAGAGAGACAGAGAAGAGAAAAGAAAAAGAGATTGAAAGAAAGAGAGGGCCAATCTGCCACTCTTTTGCATTAATTAGCCAAAGACGATTTTCCTGTAGTAGCAATTTAAATTTCCAAGGGAGATCAGCCGCCCTTCTCTCCATTATCAGCTGAAAGTCTCGCTAATGTAGGACGCACAGGAGGCGGGAGGACCGTTTGCTGAAGGAGCAGAGGGAGGAGGGAAGATGGGGGAGAGGAAAGATGGGGAGGGGACAGGGGGGAGGGGAAAGATGGGGAAAAGGGAAAAGAAGAGCGACCGTTTGCTGAAGGGGAAGAGGGAGGAGGGGGGAGGGAGGGGGGGGCAAAAGGGGGAAAGAAGGGGGCCGTTTAAATGGGGATAAAGAAAAGATGAGGAGGTAGGTAAGGAGGAAGAGAAGAGAGAGAGAAGAAGAAGAGAAGATAGATAGAGAAAGGAAGAAGAAGACAAGAGAAGAGAGAGAAGAAGAACGAAGAAGAGAGAGAGAAAAAGAAGATACGAGAAGAGAAAAAGAGAGACGAGATGACAAGACGAGACAAAAACAGACAAAACAGCACAGAGGGACACAGAAACAGAAAAAGACACAAACGAATCCAACTCCGAGATGCACCGACGGAGAAGGGAAGAGGAGGAAACACGGGAAAAGAGGCAGCCTGGGGAGAAAGAGGTGGAAGGAGAGAGGGCGGAGAAGAGAAGTTGGGTTGAAGACAGATTACGTTTCGCTCAAGTGATGAGAGAGGAAAGGGAGCCAAGGAGAAGGACAGAGGGGAGAGAAGAGAGAGGAGAGTTTTATTAGCGGCTAATGGAATCAGGATGAGATGAACAGGAGAGAGAGAGAGAGAGAGAGGGAGAGAGGTGGAGAAGAGAGCAAGGGGAAGAGAGAGGGAAGAGCGAGGGAAACAGGGAAATGGGAGAGAGAGAAAAATAGGTTAGATGGATGGGTAGATGTATAGGCAGATTATCGAAACAAGAGGGAGAGAGAAGAATG